CGAACTTACCGCGCCAGAAACCCATGAACCTCGCCGATCCTCTCAAATTGAAGAGATAGTGAGATTTTGAATACTTTAAATAGATTTCGCCAAGTCCCACGACTTTTGCCCTTCAGAAGTCTATTCTTGAAGAAGAAGAAGAGCAGCCTTTGAATATGGAATGGCCGGATCGATTTATCAAACAAGTTACTTATATCTGTCTCGCTCCTGTACTTATACCTATGTGGGTTACCATCCCAGATGTTCGTCGACCGGTAAGCGCATCAGTAAAAATTTTAAATTACTAAATGGAAATAATGATGTTTAAAAAAAACTGAAATTGTCAAAAAAAAACACAAAAACACGGTCAATAAACAAATATTTTGTGAGTTTTGGAATTCGACCCAGGTTTTTTTTTTCAAAATATACGTATTAGTAGGATTTAATTTGAGAAGTTCTGCTTCATGGTGAAAAAAAAAATTGGAAATTCCGAGTATCAAAGCATTTCTCAAGTGATAAACCACAGTTTAATCCTTCTAGTATGTTATTTGTAGAAAGAGACTTTCACTAGTTTTTTTTTAACCACCACGAATCTTTTAATTTCCCACATTTAACATAGCTTTTTCAGACAAGTCGTCATTGGTATCCAGTGACTTTTGTAAACTCAATCCTATGGATTGCGTTTTTCTCCTATTTGATGGTGTGGTGGGCGAATACTATTGGTGAAACACTGGTTATTCCAACCGAAGTTAGTGTTACTTACTACTTCTTCGCAGAAAAAGTCCCAGAGAGTTCAAATTGAGAGCAACTCAATCTTCTTTGCTAAAATTGACTTTAGCAAGCTTCCAGAAGCTATTTGATTGTTCATAAGGAATTTCTATAGAAAAAAAACAAGCACAGAAATTTTCCATAAGATTAAGAGCTATTGATTCCCCGATATCTCCGTTTCATCTCTCTTAAATTTTTCCTTGTAATAGTTTTAACAAGCTTTCTAAACATGGGATCTCAATTACTGTAGCGTCATCTAATGTTTAAAATGTGATATTGTTTTAAGGTAATAGGACTGACAATACTAGCAGCTGGCACCAGTATTCCTGATCTCATTACAAGGTAAAAACTTCTGTAATACTTGATTTCTCAGCTATGCTGGGTGGGGTAAATCCAAGCAATGATTCTGAGTTTAGTGTGATTGTTGCAAGGAAAGGTCTCGGGGACATGGCCGTATCAAGCTCGGTTGGAAGCAATATATTCGACGTTTGTGTAGGGTAAGCATTAGTCACATTAAAAAAAGAAATGATATTTGATCTGAAAA